AAGAACGAACAGCCTTGGTGTTTCCTGCAGCACCCAGCTGTCCGGTGTGTCAAGATAGGGAAGGTGGTGATGACAGTGAAAAGAGACAACTTGCAGTCTTTTCTTTCGGGTTTGTTACTGCACAGGCTATAATGTTGTTTGCATCGGGGAATTGGGGATTTTAAGAGCGGCACAGTGAGAGTGGTACGATCACTGGGTACTGCGTGATCATATTATTACAGGGCAGTGCTGTGAAATACAGAGCAGTTTCAAGAGCGCTCTAGGAGTATGAAGCAGGTCATAATAGGAATATTTGCATAAGGTAATCCCATTGGGTTTTCTCCTGCTGGTGATATTTTGGAGAGGGGGACCAGAGGAGACTGTTTCTCAGCATCCTAGATGTGCTGAACAGAACTTACCTGCTGTGAAGCCAAATATTCAATATATTCCATAATGATCCTTTAATTTGAGTATAATGACTGTGTAATACTGACAGCAGCTTAAGTAGGTAACCCAAAAGAACCTCTGCAAAGATTTCATCATGATTAACTCATTTGTCATTAACTGTGGTATAGAATTAATGTGGATTGAGAATTGCGTTGCAATTTACCAAAATACAAGATGGAAAATATCTAGTGAGCCATCTGACAAGGAAGATCTGTCACTGCATGAGAATTAAAATCAGCAAAGCAAATGACATGGCTTGATATAGCTGCTGACCTAATGTTCCTTCAAGCATCTGAGATACATGATAATTCCAGTGCAAACACAAGTGTGTGTGTGTATCTAAATTATGCATAGCTTTAGATCACCCCTCCCACATTTTAAAACTACTTGAATAGTTAACTCGCTGGCAGCGGTTTTGAACACTGTTTGCCTTGACAGCTGTTTGGAAACTGGCTCTGTGAAACAGCCGGCTTCTGGCAGGTTGGCAGCAGGTCCTGGCAGCGAAGATGAGCTAACGAAGGGGAATGACTGTGTCAGCTCGGACGATCCCACGCGCTAAACCCTCATGGCCGCGCGGTAGTTAGCACTTGGTGCTGCATTGTCTGCTGGCTGAAGAATGTGGAAAATGCAGGTTAAATATTAGAAACAGGCAGAGGCCCAAAGTTAATTGGGACTGGACAAGTAACAATTGTAAGCAGCTGGTCTGCTGTGGTTTAAGCTTATTATGTTCAGTTTAGTTCCACTGATGTTTTGTCCTTTTTGCTTCATTATGATATCTGTCCCACTGTCTGTCTCTGGACACTTGGATTTACAGCATCTGAGGGCAATGACTGCTCTCTCCTCCGTGCTTACAGTCTCTGATAGACTGAGGCTTTGATCACCTCCTGAGGCCCCATTTAAAATGGATATAATTAAAGACGTTTAACAATAACCAGCTTCTCTCATGCCGAAATATATTTTTTTCATTCTTCCACTTTGTGTTTGTCCTTTATGAATATTCTTTCACTGAAAGCAGTAGGATCTTTTTATAAAAGAGAACATACTTTTGGAGGCTCACGGGTGTGAGGAAATCATTACCAGACAAAAATAAAACTTTAATGAATGTGCAAACAGACTGCAAGCTTAAGCATCTGATGGGATACAGTGGGAAAAAAAAGCCTCAGGCAGCTTGCAAAAGGGACGTGTACACCCCTCCAAGTTTCAGTTAAACCCCATCTCCAATTTTGCAGTGATTTTCATTTGAAAGTGTGATTTCACTTGCATCTGAAAGTGATATAAATCAGAAAATAAGCATGTCATCATCCAGTTTGAACAGACTTTTATATTGTACAAGAGAATGCCATAGGCTTTCACACCTCAATAATCCTGTTCAGGAAGTGAGGAAGAGTAAGAAAAATCAGCAAGCTGCAGAGAATTTGTAAGAGCACAAAGTGACTACTGCAGCTTTTAATTTCCTTAGTAAACATGAAAGCTAAAAAGCTGTGCTTGGGATGCTTTAGGAAAAGCAAAGACTAGATTTTAAAAAGAAGAGAAACTCAAGCCACGCTAGTGTGGAAACCTGTCCGTTCTGCAGCCATCCTTGCAGACACTGGTCCCAGGAAACAAGCCTTGGACTGTAATGCTTGTGCCCTAAATAGGGAGAATGGTGGTAACACTAGGCTGTAATAAACTCTAGTGAAAAGTAAGAGCTTGACTGGAAAACAGATTTCTAAATTGTATTTGTATATTGGTCTTGGCATAATTTCTTTAGTTGTATTGCATGAGGGGCAAAAGTATTATTCATGAAAATAAAATTTCCTTGTCTGTCTGTCGTGATACCCCCATGTTTTTCACAAGAATACTGGAAGGGATAGAATATGGTTGCCTAATATAATATTTAACTTTTGTTAGACTTCATTAGGAGAATCCATTGAAATTTCTATTTTGCAGGAAATTCTTCTAAAAAAACTGCACCTTTCAGAAACAAGCACTCCGCAGAAGGGATAAAATTATTTAGGAATAAGTTAATTTGTTCAATTTCTGTAGGGAGCTGCAAAGACGACACTAAGGTTCTTGGCTCACGCCTTGTCTCCTGATTCTCCCAGGCCGCTTGCTCACTGTCATCTCTAGCAGGAGTCAAGCAGTCTTGGGAGCCGGGACCTCCAGCACAGGGAACTTCTTGAGACAGTGACCTGCAAGACGCCACTGTGGCAGGGCTTTCCTGGAACTGCAGTCCCTAGAGACCTCAGGATTCATGATGTGGAGGCGGTCCAGATGGCACAACTGCCTGGAGACACTGCAAGCTTTGTTCCCTTTCAGGTCACCAGCCAAGCTGGCAGGAAACCTGGCAGGCTTTTGATAGGACCTGCTCCTCTTGCAGCCAAGTCATATATTGATCACCGTGCTGTTGTCTGTTCTGGTGTTTTGTTGTATTTTGACCAGAAATTCTGTTTTGGGACCTGAAAATCTTCCCAGAAATGTTCACTTGAATATGGAAGTTTCCACAAAATTTTCCGGTTTCAGTGAATCGGCATTGTGCCCAAATCCCTGCCCAACCCCTTTTTATCCTATTCCTAGTATGAACTGCTGTATGACCATCAGCTACAGTTCTCCATAGGGAAATGCCAGTTGCAGAAAAATCCCTTTTGATCTATTTGGAAATTAAGCAGAAGATAAAAGCTGGATCTTATGCTCACTGTCTGTCTGACATCAAAATACTGGCCCTTCACGGTAAGGCTGAGGTATGGCTTCTTTGTCACTTCATCTTAAGTTTTCATGCAAAATCTAACCCGTAGTTTGCCTCATTTAACTTTCATGTCTGCTTTTTTCCCCCTCTTCTCTGTATATGTGGTGTTACGCACGCCCCACACCCCGCCCATTTTTTTTTCTTTTTATGACAGCAAACTACTTCCACTTGGAAGTTAGAGGTCAGACCTCTACATATAAACAGGCTCCAAGACATGGATTTCAGAAAATTAATAGATTTGTTTGTTTATTTCAATGAATGCTAATGAAATTTTAAGGGCAGTATAATAGTCTTAAAAACTTTTTTTTTTTTTTTTTTTTTCAAAGAAACATGAGGGTGGCAGAGACTGGTGGTTTCCTTTTGTGAAAGTGTCTTTATAGAGGTGGCTTCTAGCCCAAAAGCAAACCATTTATGATGCTTAGTGGTGCTGGGATTGTTTGCCAGAATGGGTGTTAGAAATGGATTCTGTTGATTGACAGGGGGGGAAAATACCCAACTGACATTTGACTAAAACTGGTGCTGCAAAAAAGGGTGATTGGCAACATGTTTTAAACAAACTTCAGAAAGATTACATCAGTGATGAATATTTGACAAAGAAAATGATTGTTTCAGTGAGCAGGTATGTGATTCCTTAGTTTTTGCTATGCCAGACAGATTAATGTTAAGACACTATAATTTTAATTTGTTGTAGCAGCTGTATTTAAAATCTGTTCTTAGTTGCTGCTTAATATTTGCAACGAGGCATCAGGATTCTGGGTACTTTTCTTTGGTCGCTGTATGTAGAGGATATTAAGGATGTAAACATGAGTCTTGTTTCTGTCTTGACCTTTATATTTCCTGGAAATCATTGCTTGCTGTCCATTAAGCCACATACAAATCTTACCAAGATCAACAATAATTTTCTCGCTAACATGGCCAGCATAAATTTTGAATGTGCAGTTACATAAACTAGTGTATCAACTATTTTGAAATTGGGCAGATGAACCTGTTTGTTCTACTCATATATATATTTTTTGATCTTTTTTCGGTGGTTTGTTTGGATGTGTTCTGAAATCTCTGCAGCACTTCTTTAACAGTAACTGAATGTGGTCCTCTTGAACTTTTTTTAATATTTATTTTTAAATTGTACATTTTCTGAGCAGCGCAGTAGGATAAAAAAAGCTTGTGCTGCAGCTTCTCCTGTCAGACTTAAAGGAACATGTCTGACACACTCCTTGAAAATGACAAAATGCTGTAAGTTCCCTCTGGCACAGTTTTTATTCATATCCCTCGTGCCCTGGACTCAGGAGAACATGCCTGTCTGAGCCCTCCTGTCAGCTGCTTCAGTCTGCTAGGACAGTCTTGGGCTGCCTCGCGAATGCTGAAGTAACCTTCGAGCACACTGCAACGTGCCCGGAAAGACTTAACCCTAGCACAGCAGCTTTCTACTGACTTGGCAAATCTCCTGCTTTGAAGAGAAGATTCCCATTTCTAGTCCCTGCCCCATCTTCCTTCCTGGGATGTCTATATTTCAGATTTTAGCAGCATCATAGTCTCCCTCCTGTCCTAGGAATGGATTTCCCCTACCAGACCTTTCTGGTGCTGTGCAATTTACCAGATTTGCCTGGTGCATGGGATCCCAGAGTTGAGGAGAGGTTATGATTTAGGGCAGGTGCCACAAGGTAAAACACATTAAGTGTGTCACTGCTGCCGTAGCCCTCCCATTGCTGGTCTCCATGGGGTCCCAGGGCATGCATCTTCATTTACTTGGAAAAATGAAGAGTTTGGGCTTCCCTCACAGGTCACACCACTTTTAACAACACATTTTCTGTCCTTTATCAAGACCATTTCTATCTCCCTCACTGAGCCAATGTTACTGGTCAAGATAGGTGTTGATAAAGGAGTCGGGGAAAATAGTACTAGATGCCACCAGAATGCTCTGAAAGATAACATCCAGAACATAACCAAGCCACCACCTCATCATCTGTCCTGCATGCTGGGTGTGAAACACATTTTAGGTATCATTTGCAGAAACTCACACGGTCTGGAAAGGTCATTTCAGACTATGCTTCGGGTGTCTGTCACCTCTACCCAGCATACCAAGTGGAAGATTGTGACTGCTGTAGTCTGTGCCATGAAGTGTCAAGGTGGTGCCTTGTACAGATCTGGAGGCTAAGCTGCTCCTCTAACCCCAAAGGTTCCCGTATTATCAGACCAAGGTTAGTAGGTTCTCCATCTCAGAAACCTTTTGTCTGCCTACTTTGATCCCAGTTTCCCAATTCAAGGGATGTCTTTCCCCGTAACCTCTAGTCCTCTTGTTCTGTATTAGTTCTCAGCACCTTGGTCTTAACATAGCTTTTAATTTCACGTATTCCTAATGGCATTAGCTGTGCTTGCTAGGTTGGAATAACCTAGTATCTTCAATAAGCCATTTGATAAACCTTGCACTGGATCTAAAACCCGCTGCAGTCAGTGGAAACGTTTTCACGGCACTTCAGTTGACACTGGATCAGGCTTTTAGGAATTATATTTTAAAATTAAATGTCTGTTTGAAAATTCAAAAAGTCACAAAATTATATTGTAGGAATTGCTGCTTGTCTTACTAAAAGGTTAAATAACTTTTTCACTTAAAGACCAAGTATCTAATATAATTTGTACAGAGCACAAGTGGTGTCCTGGTGATATCTCTGCCCCTGTAATTACACAGCCTGACCTTGCTGTCCTCATACACCCAGATCTCCCACTGTATCAGTGGGAATTCCACACAAGAGACCTCATAAAATATTCCACTGTAATAGTTTGTTTATAAAAAGACTTTGATTTAAAAGTCAAATAAATAAAAATCTGATTTTATAAGAGCAAACACTGAGGATTAATTTCATCTGTAAAGAAACTGCACAAGATCTTGTATCTTGTACAAGCTCTACCTAATCCACGTGTTAGCATTCTTGTCTTATGTTTGCTGCTATGACTTATTTGATTTAGTGTTATCCTAACTCCAGCCTACTGTATATAATACTTCCAGGCATATTTTCCAAGATAACACACTCTAATGAAATAAATGCCCGTGTATTTTCAGTATATGATGTTTTCATTTCTTTAAAATGATTGTTGTTGTTATTACATGATTTAATAACACTATTGTTTTATACAGAATAGCCTAAAAATAGCTTCTTTGATTTTACAAAAATGGCATCCTAAAAAGCTTGAGTTTGATGATCTGAAGGCACAAAAGCTTTTCCCAGCGCTCATACCCACTGTAGACAGGATTACGCAAAAGCATTTTCTTTTCTGAAGGTCTTTTTCTTTGCAGCCAGATCTCTTGCTCTGTAATGGTCTGATCCTGCAGCTCTGATGCAGCATGTTGAAGACTAATTCTTGCTCGTAGGCTTTTTTCTCCCTTACTCTCAGATTTTTCCATGTCTTTCTTTGCTTCTTAGATCTCTCCTAATGTTTTCTGGGTATCATTCGTGATTCTTATCAAAGGCTGGTAATGACTTTCTAGTCGGGTTGAAAATTCATTCTCTGACACCTTTGCCCTGTGCCTTAGGTTATGAAACTTTCCTTTGTTGAGGAAGTAATGACTTCTGTCACGTCGGACAAAACACTCTTCCGTACCACTGTAAACAGCGATAATTCCTGAAATCCAGTGAAATTATGCAGGTTTAAAGATATCAGCAGTGTCAGCCATGAGGTGAAAAGAAATGAAATTCAAATGTATTGGTTTATATAAAGTTTTCTATTTTTCTCCCAGTCTTTGTCAACTGAAGGGAGCTAAAAGAAAGCAGCTACAGAAAATAGCAGAGGGTGCTGAATGAAGGAGCGGTGTTGCTTGAAGTAGGTGGCTTCAGCTCCTAGGGTTAAGAGCATATGAAGCAGGCTGAGGACGCTTGTAGGGCAGAGCTGAAAGAGTCAAATAAACTGAAAATAAAATTGCTTCTGTTATCAGAATCAGGCGTCACACCCAAAGCTTCCTTTATAAAATAGAACATGACAAATGATAATCTATATTCAGTGTTTAAAAATGGTGTACTTTTTCCAGTAACAGAGAAAACATAGCTAGTATTTTAGTTGGATAGCAGTTAAGCAACTGTAGTAATCCACTCTCAGAGCTGTTCATATATTTTGTAGCAACAGAATGTATGTTGGACTCATAAAATGACTTTGGAAACAGGTAATGTTTTTTTCCTCATTTGAAAAAAAGGAGGAAAAGTAAAGTCAGAAACTCAAGTTACACATCTTACAGGTGTTTTCTTTCAATTTGCACGAAAGCATTTTCACTTGAGAACACCTGGATGCTTAAACAGCCTCTATGTTTTCAGGAAATTAAAGCTTCTCCAAATCTGTTCAAGTTATTCAGAGATTCAAAGATACTATTGAAGCTGATTGGCACCCCATTTTCTGTAGATGTACAGGTAATGTCCTTGTGTTTAAGATTTTCATGTTTTATGCTAAAGTTACTGTGGAATGGGAGAGTGTATTCCAACTGATGACACTTCCCATTTTACAGTAAGTGTTCATGGCTACAGCAGGAGAAGCTATACCCAGTTTACAGCAGTTTCCTCTATCCAGAAACTTGTAATAAATGGCTTTTTTTAGGTCTGTACCCTTCCTTCACGGTCAAAAGCATGAAAGGACTGGAAGATGCAGGCATCTGATGCCTCCTACTCATGCATAGCTGTATGTATGTCTCGGGTAACTTTACATATGGCTTTTCCAGCCTGAAACATGAAGGGCAAGTTGGGCTGGTCGGTAGGGAGGCTGCTCTGTTGACCGACTGCAGCCGTAGCACCTACGTGCAGAATTGAAGGGGAGGTTATGATGCCGTGTTTTGGGACAGAGATGTACGATCTGATGGGGCTCTGCATTCAGCAGGCTCTTGGAGCACCAGGAGAGGACAGGTTGCAGCAGTATGTCATGCTTTAAAAACCAGCAGCTTGAGAGCTCTGCTAAAGCTCTGGCAGCATGACAGTGCAACTTGCTCTTCCTTGCTCTTCAGAGGCAGCAGGTACTTGACTGCATGGGTACAACGGTATTGGTGACAGGGCAAGGCAGAAGGACTGTAGTGGGACAACACCCACTACAGTCCCCACAGGTGCTCAGTAAAATTCCCCTAGCTGTTTGCATTGGGTTCCTTAAGGGAAGAAAGGATAGAAAACCACAAATTTCATCATAAATTTCATGGAAGATGTGCATCAACGTAGAGAGGTATATGTTTCAGAGGAGGGACTAGAAAGATACACTGTCAAGTGTTTCAAGCACAGTGGGCTTTTCCTGTGGATCAGGTCATATCCACGAAATGGAAAATACCCATCATGGTAAGGGAGGCAAATCATAATTTACAATTTCACTTCAATTCTGAATGCATGAATATTTATATATTAATTTCTGTGATTATGTATACTTTGTCTGCTAGAAGTAGCTCCCTATTCATTTTTTGTTTTCAGCTTCTTGGAAATAATGTCTGGTTGGTAATATATGATCTCTGTATAATGTGATGTTAGTTCTTCTGTACTCTTCTTGACATCTCAGTGTGAAGATATATCTTCATACTATTTTCACGTGAAATTTGGTGTCAGTTATTTGTCTAGTTTACTGACAACCCTTGATACATAAATCTTATTTGTGAAACATCTGTCCTTCATCTCTTAGCTGCAGTTAAATAACATGGATCATCTGAAATAACTAAGCTTCCCTTACCTAGTTTATCAACAAAGAGCTGTAATGCTGTAGAGAGTTAGACAGTCTTTGTGCTGCCTTTCAAAACTTCAGTATTAATATAGTTAAATTGTCTTCCTTGATGGGTTATTATTCCTTTCAGAAGTAGATCTGAACAGAAACTGGAAGGAATACGGTCTAGCTCTCACACTGATTTTCTTCTTGAATACTTCATACTCTGTGAAAATGAACAGTGATGTTCTTTGTGGTGTTCCTACAAGGGGATAAGTACAATTGTGTCATCCAAGAGCAGTAGATGGACCATGACATTACCTATTCAAACAGTAGCCTGTGTGTGTTTGCCAACAAATCCTCTCTGTGCACAACAAACCTACTGTTTTACTAAGTTACACAAGAGATTTTGTCCTCAGACTTTGTTTAAAAGTTTCCTTGAGAAGATTAATTTATTTGTATGAATATTTACAAAAAGGCCCAAAGAGATACAGGGAATCAACAGTAGAGATGCACAATGTTAGAAGAGCAGAATGTTATTAACTTAACATACTAATCAACAGGAATATTTCACAAGTGCTCTTCTCAGTACACAACGGTACTAGCAGATGAAACAGCTAAGGGGGAGGACTATGGCCCTTATCAGGGAGGAGCTGCCTCCTTCTTTTGGCTAACAGGTATAGTAGGATGCAAGTAAAAATAAAAGTCAAAGGCACCAAACCAGTAAAAGATCAGAGCGGGGCCATCATGGTCAGGGATTCTTGAAGAATTTTAAGAGACATTTTAGAAAATGAAGCTTGGGCAAGAAAAAGTCCCCTACCGTGTGTAAGGGAATGTCATGGAAATAGTCAAAGTGGGGACTTAGTCTGAGGCTAATGCATGTCAAAGCAGCATCATCTTCACCTCACTGCTATCAAACTTCTGGGACCTGGTGGGTGGGTTGACCTGGCACCGGAGGGCTGCTGGCCCCGGCTCTGCTCTCCTGGGGCAGCTGCCCTGGCTGGTGCGTTGCAGGGAGGTGGCCAGCTGAAGCTGGGCTGATGGATGGGCTCCTGAGAGCCCTACAGCTGTCAGCCAGCTGTTCATGCTTCTCTCTGTTTTCTCTACCCTTGGTATCTTTGGAGCAGCTGGTGGGGGCACAGGGCGAGCAGCTGCGGATTTGCCTTTCATTTCTGTTGTGAGCCACTTGGAACGTATTCATCAGAGCAGGACTGGAAGGAGTACACCTTGAGTGCCCTCGCTCTCTCTTGCCTTCACTTCTCTTATACTGTCATCCTCACCACTGACAGTGTTCTTCTCCAGCACCACTTCTTGGCATCCTTCTGATGAAATAGGGAAAAAAGTAGTGTCAAGTCTCTAGGATGTGATCTTAGGAAGAAGAGCCGGAAGAGTACAGTACAAACTGCCTCAAATCAGAGATCTACTGAAAAAAACCCAACATTTGTTGTTTAAAACCTGGACTTTAAAAAGACACTTTTGGAGAAGAAAGCATTTCTTCATCCACTG